TTTCAATAGCTCCTTTTCCTGAATTTTTGATGGCTCCATTCTAAAGTAATCAAATTTTTTTTTAACTTCATGCATGTTAATCATAAGACTTTATATATATATATAGAGAGAGAGAGAGAGAGAGACGATATATATTTAGACGAAGAAATATAAACACGTTTTGCATGCTTTCTTTTCTTTTCTTTAAAATAGTTAACTTTTCCATCTGTAAAGGTAATCTTTAAAAAGTGTACACTTTTTGTTTTCACTAGTTACATCGTTCAATTGAATGATAATTCAATTCTAAAGGAGGATCGAAGATTCTGAAAATATGTCCTCGCATTCATAATATTGTACAAATGAAAAGTTACAAAATAACAAACAGTGATCGATATCAAATACTACATTTAATATAAAATATGTGGAGAAATTGGAAAAATATGTATTTCTTAGGTAGGTAGGTAAGTTCACAGTGGAGTTTATCTCTAAATCAAGACGAAATACTTCCTGATCTTAATTCGTGAGATGCTCTCCCTACGCTTGGCGTATATTAAGCGGCTGGGTAGGATGTCTTCAATTGAGTCCAAGATTTTAGAGTTCGTTTCTGCCAGTGATCTGTCGGAATCAGGGAGATTGACTGTATACTTTGAATGTACTTTCGAGCTTTAATAATGTTGGTAATTTTCATATATTTCATGTCTGCTGTGGCCATGCTAGTTATCAGGCAACTCTAATATTGATGACATAAGCATGTCTGCGACAAGAGAAAGGTCTTTGTTCGGAGAAGTTCATTTACGAATGTATTGATCCAAAAAAAATTTCATAAACTTATTTAACTATTAAATTGAAAGAGATTTTTATCCCCGCTTTCAATGAAAGTGGGGGATAATAATTTGGATCTGTCTGTCCGTCCGTCTGTATTTCTGTTTGTCTGTAACACTTTCGTTTCCGCGCGATATCTCGAGAACCCTTTTAGCTTTCGCAATGAAATTTTGCATAGCAACTCCCTATGGCCTAAAGAAGAACCCTGTTGATTTTGAGGTCAAAGGTCAAGGTCATAAATTCTCTCCGTTTTAACACTTTCGTTTCCGCGCGATATCTCGAGAATCGTTTGAGATCCTGCAATGAAATTTTACATAACAACTCCATGTGGCCTACGGAAGACCCTTATTGATTTTGAGGTCAAAAGGTCAAAGTTCAGGGTCGTTTGTTTCCGGACGATATCTTAAGAAGCTTTTGCAATGAAATTTTATACATAACACCCTATGGCCTCTCTCGCACCTCTCAAAGTGTCCCGCCCTGTTTTTTTTTTTTTTATTTATTGTATTAGAAGTCGCTTGGCACTATTTTTTTTAGCACAGAAGCATGTGGAGAGTTATTACGTATAACACAGGTTGTCGGCGGACTTTATATTCTAATTACATCTAGTAGAACTGTTTAGTAAAGCTACATTACACACCATGTATTGTTTAAAATTTTGACAATATCGAACGTGAAAATAAACATTGTATGTGACCTAATGTTTGCATTTAGTTCGCTGTATAATCAAGTGCTTCAGTGTGATAAATATTCTATATATTGAAAAGAATCTTCTATACACATATTAAAAGGATAAACAATCAAAGTTTTATATCCATGTTGGCATTTTTTTTTATTTGCTTCAATATACATGTATATCTCCCCCCCCCCCCCCCCCCCGCCCAACTGCGCATGCTCTTCTTTTTTCCCTTATGTTTGTTTGTAGATTGTTTATCGTCCCTCTCAAAAATATTTCACTCATATGGAGACGCCACCATTTGCCGGTGGAGAGCTGCCCTATACTCGGCACTGACGGCCATTGAGCAGTGAGGGATCTTTTTCATGCCAGCACATACTGCGACACGGGACCTCGGTTTTTACGGTCTCATCCGAAGGACCGGTCTCCACGTCCTACAGTGGGATTCGAACCCGCGACGTAAGGATCAACTCCTTACTCCGCGACTCTAGAGCAGACGCTCTAACCCCTGCGCCACGCGGGCGACTCTTTTTTTTTTTTCCTTAAGCGGGGGACACAAATTCTCTGAATTAGTTTGTTATCATTAATACAAGTTTAACTCAAATTTTTTTAACATATGAATTTTTTAGAAAGTGTTGGGAGCTGATTTTGGTAAGCATAACGTTATTTTTAATTTTCAAAAAGAAGTTGAAATTTTTAGCTTTTATATGCATTCTGGGAAACATAACAGGAACTTACAAAACGACACAAATTAGCTCCCAGTACTTTTCGAGTAGACGACGTAAACTTTTTAATGTGTATCGATTTTTTTCTCCAAAACATTCGAATGCCCTTGCACTAGCCCATTTTTTTCATTCAGCTTAAGAACTGCGAACGATAGTATTGTTCTCCCGCCTACCTCCAAGTCAATTTTCAAAAGTTAATATATTCGAATGATTTTTAATATTTATATTTATATGGATTTTCATAAAACATTACTTCTTTGGGAAAACAACGAGAGATAACTCTAAAATTTTGGTAAAACTCGTGTTTTTCACTATAGAAATCAATGAAAAACGGAAAATATTTTTAAAACATCTCCCCCCCCCCCCCCCCCGTGAAACAAAAATTCCTTTTTACAGGTAATATGGACTGTCATTTCACAAATTCATACCAAAGCTTTTTGTGTTTCACGGGGGGGAACATATGTTTATATACAAAAAACGACAAAAATGCTTATTTTTTCAGCAATTTCCAAGTGCTTTACAACTGAAACATTATATTTTACTAATATATATGCTTAATTTTATATGCATAAAAGATAAGAAAAGATTTAAGAAACATTTATTCATATCCAAGACTATTTCAGAATATGGTGATGCTTTATAGCCCGATTTCAGTGGAAAATATCGTCTACCCCCCTTATTTCAAGAGCTGGAATTAGGGATATTTTACTATTTAGCACTGGAATTAAAATAATTAATCACTTACCTTTGAACTGTTCTTTGTATTAAACAAAGATTTTATGGCCAAATTGTCATTAATATTGAATTAAATGGTTGTAAAATGTAGGCGGGAATCGGGAGTTACCGTGCGTAGTTCTTTTATCTTTATACCAGTCATGTGACACACAGATTCATGTGATATAACTGAAAAGGGCAGAGACCTATCCATTATGGATATCTATATCACGTTTCCTACATGTATACAGTTACTTTGTTTACGAAGATTTTTAAAAGTAATAAATATTAAGAATCTACTAAGATTGCACTTTCCATTTATGTCTTTAAGGGTTTGGTTTTGTGTGCAGCCAAGTGAGACTCACTAAAAATAAAAACCTTAATATCTCAAAAATTAAGCCTTGCTTACACTTGAAAACTGGTCCATGTCATCTTCATAATGAAAACAATCTCTGGGTATATGCAGCTTAATTGACACTTGCAGCTATGAAGTGCACAATACACCTGCAGGACTGCGCAGCCACAGGTTTTAGTAGTGCACCAAAAAATCCAAAAAAAATATGAAATAGTTAAAACAATTAAGTGGCTACAACTATTTGTGAAGAACCTTTGATTTAAATGTAAACTCACTACAATAGGTACATTTCTTTAAATGCATACTTGTTAGTTAAACAAGAAAATGTTAGCCATGAAAGTAGTCCCAACCACATGGCAATGTGTTAAAAATAGAATTAAATAGACTCACTTTTGATCTAAAAATAGCACTTTATATGAAAGCCCAGATGTATCTTAAATATTACTCTATGGTGTGTACAAAACACAGGGAAATTAATGTTAGAAAAATGATTTTCTCCTTAAAAAGTATGCCAAATAAGATGTTAAAAATCTGCAGGGATAATGGAAGTGGGCAATTTAAATAAGAGGCCTGGCCCACAACATTCACTTGAGTCACCTTGGTGTTCTTCAGATTTCTAAGACATTCTTATCCCCCTTAATTCTCATAAAAACAAATCTGAGCTAATACTGTGGCCCCACCCTGGGCCATAAGGCCATGTCTAATCCAAAACTGATTCCACAACATGAGGATATTTCATTATCAATATGGCTAACATGGCTTATATGTTTTCTAAAGTTTTTTTTCACATTTATACATGCATTTACCAATTTATATGTAAAATCTGATCTCAGATTTATTTGAAGAAAAAAAATGAAAAAAATACAAATAGGGAATATTTTAATATTATTATAATAATAAGTCAGGCAAATGATTTTGACCAACTTGAATCTTCACTTCTTGAGGATGCTTGCATACATTATGAGTAAATCATTACCTTGTTGTTCATTAAAGGACAATTTTTTCCTATCTATTCCCATGTCAAACTTTGATACCCCTATTTTAGGGTTTAATTTTTATGGATGACAGATGGACAGACACCAGAGACTCTTTGATCAGAAAAAGTTCAACAGAGCCTCTGCTCAGATGAGCTAAAATGTAAATGTCTTTGATTATTGTAAAAAAGTCACCAAGAAGAACAAAAGAAAAGGATGATAAATGAACTTTTTTTTTATTCTTAATCACTTCCAGGATATTATATTTCTTTTAACATGTTAACCAGTATATGCAAGTTTGACTATTTTTTTGTGAAACTTTCTTTAAAGATATAAGGTATAATTTTATAAATAAGCTTCAATTCTAACAATATAACTCTAATATAACTCTCTAAGATATTTGAGACCTGTGTTCTTAGCATGGGTTTCACAAGAGTGACTTTAAAACATTTTTTTGCATTTAATGCACTAAACAATATTAATAAATTAGATAAAACACTAAAACACTAAACACAATAATATCCTGTATCAAGATCCCAAAATGTTCTTCATTGTAAACTCGTGGAAAGTTCAAATATGTATTTTTGTTTGGTCATCATATTTTCTTTTTCAATGATGTTTGGAAAGTTCAAAGCATTTGTTCATACAACCATGGAATCAAAAATATTAACTTTCTTTAGTCATATCATATGAAACTAAATCACAGTCTTCACATGTTGCTGATATTTTCTCCAACACTGCTTTTCAAAAGATTAACTGTTGAGACAAACCAAGATGGACCAAAACCTCTGTCATTTGAATGATCTCCTTAACTTTGAAATCTGTAAAATATTAAATATAAATAATTTATAATATACCACTAAAAAAACAATACCGTTGATCACTCTCAAAGAGGGAACTTGAATTGAAAGTTAAATCTTTACATCATGACTAAGTAAAAAGCATGCAAAGACAGACATGTAAATTTCAGGGTCAAAGGCTACACATCCCTCAGCAATGATGGTCACATTGTAAATGTTGGTTAACACTGATTGTTGGACTGAATATATCTTATTTTAATTTACAATTAGTGTAGATCAGAGTAGTTTAATCCATATAGAGATATATGAGTCTAATCTGTATACAAAGAGATCAACCATAAATAAGATCAATTAAGGTAAACCCAAGTGATGGTCATGTCATCTTGCCTTGGGAAGTAGATGAGACAAGCATATAAGATCATAATTAAATAAAACAAACAAGTACAAAATCTGAAGGTTAAATGACAAGGTAAGGATTTGATGGCAGAATTTTAAAAACCTGATATGATGACATGTGTGTTAGTAAGCTACAAGAAGATGATCAGAAACAGTTCCTTCCAAAAGAGATTGAAGTTTTCAATTATTTAAAATAACCTCTGATGTGACTTCTTTTTTCAGTCACTGTTTACCTAACATTTGTTTTTTATCGTTAAAGTCAACTGCAATATAAACAATTACTTTTATTGGGTTATAACATAAGGTTTGATTATTCATGATAACGATACTTAATTCGCTCAAGCAGCCTCGGGTAGGAGAGAGCTGTAGGCGGACTCCAACCATGGCTTGAGACAATGTGATGGACACATACACAACATTCACTCAAACAAAATCTTTCTTTTCATCCAACCGCATATATATTTCTCATCATAAAAATTGTACATTCTTTCATTCTGTACACATAGAATAACATCTGAATCCAATCATACAAAATGAAATGACTAGTCAGCTCACTGTGATTATAACACCTACCTTATACCCTTATACACATGTTTTATTAAATTTACAGAATCATTCCATTGTGATAAAAAACTTACTTTACAGGGGAGGTTTTTGGGAGGGCTCCAACACAGGTATCACATGATTATGAAATGCAGAAATTGACAGTCCAGAGAAAATATCTGAACAGTGTTCTTTTTTGTGAAACAAGGCATTCTGTAAACATGGTAAACATAGTTATAATAAATTTTAGGAAAAAAGTTCAAAAACAATTCTTTTAAGTCTAGATATTAATATTAATCTTTGTTGAACATGTTGAAGGGTGTCAGTGTTTTAACTGAATGGTATTTATTTCCTGAAACTGTGTCCGTTAAAACTTTTGTTCTATGAGACATTATAAGAATAGAGTTTTGCTTCCATCTCTCAAAATTATGTGAATTTGAATTTGATTATTGTTTGTTATCTTCATATTTCATTTAAAGTCTCTTCCATTTTTTTCTTTAAGCATTTTAACCTCAATGTGTCAAACTATACCAGATTTCTTAATTTTTTTTATTGGTCCCATCAGGATAGAAATACAATGTAACAAGGTTTGCCTGTACCATTAAAATGCAGGTCCTCCAAAAAAAAAAATAATAATAATAACCTTTGAGATAAAGTGGTGGCTACATGTACATTCATTTTTTTTTCAATTTTATACAAAAAATCTTAGAGGTTTCTACAAGAATATTATGGTATTTATGGATCAATACCAAGGTTTACCCCCCACCCCACCCCCAGCACCTCATCTCTTCCTTACAAGTGCAACCAACAACCTATGTCTAATTGAGCATATGAAAAACTTTCATAAAATGAACATTCAATTAAAAATAAACATGCTTGGTAGCATTTGATTCAGCATGCTCAATGGTAACTTAAGATCAGGTAAGACCCCCTTATTATACGGGTGTTGCTAAAACGCGGAACGGAAAACGGAACGGAAAACGGAAAATTTGATGTCAAGTTTTCACTTAGCACAGGTATAATTCAGACTTAGGAAGCAATATTCTTTATCTAATACATGTAAATCACATCTAATTAAAAGTTATCTAACAATATGATTTATTCATGATTTTTTTCCTCAAAACATGTGGCATATATACATGCAATGGTCAATAAAATACACATTAATAAGACTCACATCCCATTATCTATCAGAATGTCTCACTGCATGTGCGGATCTAGAGGGGGGGGTCGGGGGGTCCGGACCCCCCCCCCCCTGAAATTTGCAGAGTTAATCAATGTATATACTAAACCAACTAAAAGTGAACTTAGACCACCCCCCTCCCCTCGAAAACGCGGACCACCACCCCCCCCCCCTCGAAAACGCGGATCTGTATAAAGTTGGTAGGAAAAGTCATATTGAGCTTTAGAAGTCAACGACTACCCCCCCCCCCCCCCACCCCACCCCCGAAATAGGTTTTTCACGTTTGTGAAAGGACTTTACAGGTTTTTTTTTTCGTTTCGTTTTGTTTTTTTTTTGTTTTTTTGCTTGTCAAGAATTTCCTAGGTTGGAATTTTTTTTTTGACTGGGGTGGAACCCCCCCCCCCCCTTGGAAAAAATTCCTGGATCCTTGCCTGCACTTATCACTCATCCAAATCTGAATTTAAAAAATGGCTTATTCGTCAAAGACAAAATCATCTTTATTGATTATGAAAGGGGCAATGTTTTGAAACAGGCGGAAAGAAAGAGAAAAACAGAGTATATATACATTTGTGTTAGAGACAACGATCACTGGCGTTAAGGAAACAGTTTTTTATAAAGTTTATTACAACTACAGGAGTGTTGATGCAATCCACAGGAACCTGAAACAGGGGTTTAAGAAAGATAGCATACATGTATAAGACCAAATTGTGCAAAACAGCAAAAACTTATTCCATAGAATAACATCAAGATGAAATTGATGGGGAAATGACATGTTTTCGAGAAAATATAGAGTTGTTATTTATATTTTAGTAAGGGGGGGGGGGTACAGAGATGTACGTTATCCACACCTAAGGTGCATGGGTACATATGCATTGAAAATTATGGAAATTTTTGCTCAAAGCATGTTACATGTATATTACCGCATATTTGAGCTCGTCTCACAACATGCGTCGTTATCAAAGCTCTACTCTGTTATTAATGTCATAATTCGTATATTATTTTGCGAGAAACTGATGATTGAGTAAAGTCGGAATTTTGTTATCCACCCATACAGTGTCGGTACTTAGTCACTATGTTTCCGGGTTATCTCCCCTTTTCTATGCATCAATGAAAGTGAAAGGTGGGTGATGAAAGTATCTGATTTAATTTTTGTATTTTGAAATAGTCTATCACAATTTATGTTTTTTAAAGTTAATTTTCAGTCAAAATAAGTAGCATTAATTATTTTATTGACATTTATATCGCTGGATGGCGAATATTTGATTGGATGGAAACAGTTTGATTTGCCACCCCATTCTTCCATTGTACTGGCACATGTTACAAGGGATAACAATGGCAATAACCAATTTCATCAACAGATTTTGAATAAAGAAAATGTTATTTAGTTGAATAATCGTAAAAAGAGAGCCAGCGTGAAAATGATGATTATTAAACTTCAAATTTATTCGGTACCCTTCTTCAAGGTCAGAAACGTATCTGGATATTTAGATACTTATGTCCCTTGGCCACAGTATTTAGAGGAATATCCATATTATTCTCACAGTGGCTTCTGTAACATAGATTTGTTATATATATTTATCAGTTTAATACTTGAAAACATTTAGTGAAAAAAAAAAGGTCATTGTACAAGGATAGTGCTACCCTGTACCTTTAAAGCAGTAAGTAAATAAATACAGATTGAAAATTAATTAGAATACAGTAAATCTATTGCAGCACATCCAAATGTTATATAGCTGAATTCACAAAGGGAAGTACTGTATTTATTTTTAAGTGTATACATAAATAACGGTTTATTTCCAATCAAGCACCCCCCCCCCCCTCCCCGAGAGGGATGAAAAAGATACATTGGTATACAAATGCAGTAATTAATTGTGATATCAAATCATGTAAAGTAAAATACATGCAGAGCAAGTTGTTGTGCTTTACAATGTCGTATTACAATAATGCATTATAATATGTATATGAATAAAACATAATATAAGTAGATGTGTATATAATTGTACAACATATTTACTTCTGTCACATGTAGTGGCAAAGCTCTAGGTAGGTTAAAATGAATGAATGAATGATGACTTAATATATTTGAGACATAAATATCAGTTGGATGGAAGCATTACAATGAGCAATTCAGGCTATTTAAAATGGAGGCATGAGCACCCTAAGTCGAATTGTACATTGTCCAAATCCACAATACAGTCAAATTTGAGCCAGCAGCATCCTCACCTATCAGGATATCACTTCTCTTAGAGGGCTTGGCAAGGAGGACAATTTCGGCCTCCACCAGACCGATAATAGAAGGGCATCGCAATTTAAAAACACAATTGTTCACCAGTTAGGGTAGATAGGAGTCCCCATATTTTTAATAATTAGCTAAAATTCTATCAAGGCTAGCTACTGTTTTGCTTGTCGGATATCAAATGGGTTCAGATTAATTAAGATGGGGTCAAAGACATGTTTCAGATATATATTCTGTGTCTGCTCATTGGTTCAGTTTTAAGATTATAAAGGAAATCAAGGAGGTTTGGGCTATTGGGTCATTTTCAAAACAGTGTCCACCTTTCATAATCATGAACTTCTCTAATAGAGCCTGTACTTTAATTGAGTGAAGGTTTAATGATAACATGTTTATTGTCCTCTCTCTCCTGCCCCCTAAGGCCCCTTGGGTATGATACATAAATTTATAGAGTTGTGTTAAGTAAAAGTTTTGTACCTTCTCAAGTTAACCTCAAAAACTGAAATAAACTTACATTATTTTCACATTATATAGAATATTTCTCATTTAGGCTTGGGAAAGTGTTTGATTTTTACATGTAGGAACTAATTTCATCATGGGAGTTTTCTCTCAATGTAATAAAAGCTGGTCTTGTTTGATATTTTTAGGCACACAAGGGCCTTTTAGGTTCAAATATAAATACAATTATACAAATAGTCGAAGTAAATAAATAAAAAAATAAATAAATAAATAGGTAAAATGAAATGCAGATAATTTTAGCAGAGCTTCAGGATAAAATTGTCACAGAAGACATTTTAACTTGACAAGTTTATTAGAAATATGCACAGTTAATCCATTGAGTTATCTGTCTTATCAGAGGGTTGGTTAACCTTAAAATATTTCCTGACCTTTTACAATTTTACTCGAGTAACTTAGTTTTGACAAATGAATAAATTATAGGGTTCCTAAATTGTTACAGTCAATGCTGGCATATTGGGACAGGGCTGTGGATGTGAATCTTTTGTTTTTTTGGTTTGGAAGGAACATTGATCAATGGTCAAGCAGTTAGGGGGAAAAAGGCTATAATAAAACATTATGTAAAATTGGGGCCTAATTTTTGGTCCTTGATGGTTTCTGTTGTGTCTCTAAGTGGGAAAAATAAAAAGATTTGTAATTTAACTCAGGTAAAAATTGCTTTAGTTCAAATTTTAATTCACAGTTCTTAAACTCACAAAAGGTGATATGTTTGGGAAACTGGTTTTATTCATCATGAAATATAAAACATAAAAAACTGAGCATAAGGCAAGATTTACTATTAATCTGCTATGCAAGCAGATGCAAATTCTTGGGGTTGAAGGGGGAGGGGGGTTAGACATATATTCATCCACAGACCTGAATTGAATAGAATCTGATCCATTTCTTGCAATGTTTTGTATGTAGTTTTCAGAAATGAGGCGACGGGATTGTTAAAGACAGCAATTCTACAAAAACTGCTGACACATATCATGCATATATCTAATGGGCATTTCTCCAATGAAAAATGTCAGTTCAAACCCAATTGCCAATTACATATATGTCATTGGTGTACACCCCTAAACTAAGCAGTTAGCATACTTGTACTTTTATAATTATGTTTGTATATTAATGTCAAAGGTTATTCAGATGCATCTTCAATGCATATATAGTTTACATCCATGTATCACTGGTGGGTACAACTGCAAATCTGAGGGAGTTAAAGATTCATTTTAGCAAAACTTCCCTAGCATTTTAGGGTATTAAATAAAGGATAGGTTGCCATTGCCTTAGCTCATACTTGGACAATTAATTTGTATGCTGGCCTTCATATAATTATGCATATTTAGAACTTTAAAACAGATTAAGTCCATATCCCCCCCCCCCCCCATCTAGTCTTAACCATATTTTTGCCTTGGGGTGAGGGATGGGGATAACCCATTCTGAATTAATGTTACAGTTTCAGTATTCCTGAAGTAAGAAGTTTAAGGTGACAAGTTGCAGTTTCTGAGAGAGCATCAGCTGGGCAAGGGTCTGGAATATAGAATTTAGTCCTATAGGTACTTCATGTCTGGTGCAGTACATGTACATTTACAAATACTTTGGAAACATTTCATAGTCCTCCATTGTGTCTCAAGACTCTTGGGTTGGAATTTAATTAGTATATATTTTAATCAATTTTAAATGGAGAGGCTTTAGCAGAGCTTGGTTTCAGAAATAAGTGGTATGACCTCATTCCTTTAGAACCAGCACAGCTACTGTTGAGCAAAAATGGTTTTCCAGATTAGGTAATAAAGATAGCAGGGAGATAGGTATCCCTTAATCTATTCTGGAATTTACAAAGTGGGAATGTGATAACACTTAACATTTTGTCATTGCAACATTGTCAAGAATGCAGGAACTGCAGCCATATGCAGATGGGAAAAGGGGGGGGGAGGTAAAAGGGGATTTGTGCCTGTTTATTACTTGTTTGCAATCTCAGCTGGAAAGTAGTTTAGAACTTTCCAAATTACGTTAAAAAAAAAAATAAATAATGAATAAATTAAATAAATAAATAAATGAATAAACAAATAAATAAAAATACAAGAAAAGGGTAAGTGGGGATTAGAGATTGAAATTATATACATATTTTCTTACACCAGGCTAGTTTAGTTCTTATTCATGCCTCAGTAATAATAACCTGTTGTTACTAAAAATATTAGGGTAATAAAAAGACCCAAAGCAGAATAAACAAAAACTTGTACTAGATTCCAGGGAATGGGTGGGGTGTTTTCAGGCACACTTAATTTGTAGGGAAACTAGATCATTTATCTTAATACAGCAGGGATGGCTAATAAAGAATTGATTTAATCTTGTATTGAAGATATATTGAGTAGTGGAGACAATTAGAAAGTGGTATTCACAGTGGGTGGGGTGCTGAGGGTTTTGAGTAGGCTAGGGGTCCACGGTGGGTGGTTAAATTGAAGCTGCCTACCCCCACCAGGTGGCGGTGGGCACCTGCGGTGCCCATGTGGCGAAATCGTCACCTTCAATTTAACCATTGAATTATTTATATTCTTGACTTGTTGTGGTTGATGTTGATATATGTGATGGTTGATGTTGATATATGTGATGTTGACTTTGAAAATTATATCTCATATTGAGTAAATCTAAAGCAAAATTATGTAATATAATTGATATAATTAATCATAATTAATATAATTAAAGATAATTTGTGTTGAAATGTGTCCGTAGCACGATTGAGGTCAACCCAGCGTGCTACTTTTCCCGTCAGGGAGGGCACAACTTAATTGTTGATGTTGGGGGATGTGCCAGTTTGCCGGCTGCCCCACTGTTGTGTAGACCACTGTGGACAATACCTGCCAACTCGAATAAAACATATAAAATAAATAAGGCATTTGTTTTAAATATATTAAGGTCTTTGATAATACCGCATATTTGAGCTCGTCTCACAATATGCGTCGTTATCAAAGCTCTACTCTGTTATTAATGTCATCATTCGTCTCTTATTTTGCGAGAAACTGATGATTGAGTAAAGTCGGAATTTTGTTATCCACCCATACAGTGTCGGTACTTAGTCACTATGTTTCCGGGTTATCTCCCCTTTTCTATGCATCAATGAAAGTGAAAGGTGGGTGATGAAAGTATCTGATTTAATTTTTGTATTTTGAAATACCCTCCCACCACAACCCTTGAGCTTGGTGTTTAAGTATACCCTTTCTCCTTTCGTACATCTACATAGTTTTACATGATTGGGCTATACCTATATTTATTGACAGTTGAGATTCTTTTCTGCTTTGGGTTTTTTTTGTTTTGTCTTTTCAGAAATTAGCGGTGCCGTTGAAGGAGACCAAAGATGTTGATCAGGATTGCCTGTTATTTCCGTTTAGGACCTTTTGAATGATTTTGGGCCAAATACAGTATCCTTCCGAGGAGTTCGGGGAAAAACCATACTTCACAGTGGTCAGATTGGCGAAATCGTCACCTTCAATTTAACCATTGAACTATTTATATTCTTGACTTGTTGTGGTTGATGTTGATATATGTGATGGTTGATGTTGATATATGTGATGTTGACTTTGAAAATTATATCTCATATTGAGTAAATCTAAAGCAAAATTATGTTATATAATTGATATAATTAATATAATTAAAGATAATTTGTGTTGAAATGTGTCGGTAGCACGATTGAGGTCAACCCAGCGTGCTACTTTTCCCGTCAGGGAGGGCACAACTTAATTGTTGATGTTGGGGGATGTGCCAGTTTGCCGGCTACCCCACTGTTGTGTAGACCACTGTGGACAATACCTGCCAACTCGAATAAAACATATAAAATAAATAGGGCATTTGTTTTAAATATATTAAGGTCTTTGATAAATGTAAGGCATGAGATCTTTTCTGTTCCGTTTTCCGTACCCTGTGCTTTGTCTATGTTCAGACATCTTCATAAATAAGAGAATGAACATGACTAAATCAACTCGTATTTTAATGATTAAGGATTAAAAATGAAAATAATTATATGATATAATACTGTTTCTGGTATTATTTTTATATCTTAAGGGATTTAAACCGAATTCATACTTTCCGTTTTCCGTTCCGCTTTCCGTTCCGTTTTCCGTTCCGCGTTTTAGCAACACCCTTATTATACTCCCTTTTTGATGAAACCAATGCCGTTGCAGAAATTCAAGTTTTCAATCTTAACCATTTTAACTAGAGAATATTAATTATCAATACTTTATGCAATTTTCATCTTTAAAAAAACCTATTTTTCAATTTTGCTGCAGTCTCTTCATTTGATGAACATTGAACAATTTACATATCAAGCAATAAGCAAATTAAGTTGACATCCTTGAAAATTTTTATCGTTTAATTTACTTTTCCCCATGAGAACTACATATACTGCACTAATCTGCAAATCAGAAGGTCCAAGTCCAAAATGATGGTTTGTATACATAGTACAAACTTATGTGAAAATTATTTATATAAATAATCAATAATACTTGCATCTCTTTTACAAAAAGTAAAACAAAAAAGCAACAAAATTTGAATATCAAAATTTTGATTTACAAATAACACATCTGATTTACCATATATGTGTACTACGTAGAGCCACTTCACTTAGCCGTCATTGGACATTTAACTTGGTGTGTCTGAGGCTCAATGAAGGATCTTACACAAAAATCGCTCATTAATGAAAACAAAATTCAGTTCTTTACTCTACTCATAATATTTGAAACCCTGTTTTTGACTGAACTATATTTTTATACAATGACGAATACTTTTAGTATTTTGAAACATAGTAACATTTATTAGAGGAACCTTAAATATTGCCCGCTACCAAATTGTGGTCTGCAAGAAACACGTGGAAATTCTCAGATCCTTTGTATAACGTTTAACCTTTTTAAAATTGATGTGCATTAGATCGCAGGCGTTGTCACACTCAAAATGTATTACTGATACTAGGAGTTATATTGTATTTCTGAGATAAGGCTCATAAATCACAATAAACACAACAAATCGACTTACCAGCTCCTACTTTCACTTTAGCCGAATATCGCATGACAGACCTCAGAAATAAACTACGCTGAGTGATTATAGTTCTTAATTTTCGTGCAATATTTTTCAATATTATATGACATTGTCCTACATTTGTAGGATTAATATGCTTATTTGATAAAAGGTAATTAACAGCCTTACCTGCAAAAGAAATAACAGACGTTAAATTCAGTCGGAACTGCTAAAACTGGGCGCGTATTAATTTATCTGTCCATTGTAAAATCGAAGACGGAGCATTCCCTGATATGACGTAAACATCGATGTTACTTTTATAATAAACAATATTAAACATTTAGATCGAAACATTCTAATAACTGGAGATGTTTAACGAAATATCTCTCTAATTGCTTTGTGTAATCGAGGTACTAGAGACATCAGATTACAGAAATAGTCAGTTGGTTTCAATACCGGAATGGCAGCCCCCCGATTTCGCATGGCGGACATGCCTAAGTGATGAAAAACAGACAGTTATAGAAAAAGTACGCACAGTATTGTTAGGAACGAAACAAATGGTTGTACCCATGACGTTCAACTATCCGCACATATACAACAAATGTCATGTTATTGTTTTGTTAGACCTGTAGCTGTGCAGTCCTGCAAGTGTAATATGCACATTATTGCTGCATGACACTGCAAGTGACAATCAAACTGCATACATATCAAGACAGCTTTCCAATGGAAGGTGTCATAGGTCAGTTTTCAAGAGTAAGCAAGAAGTATTTATTAAAATATTGAGATTTTTATTTCGTACGAGTTTCACTTGGATGAACACAAAACCAAACCCTTAACTTAGCTGAGGATAAGCCGCTGCAGCTCCGGCCCTCTCCGATGCATCAGAAAAATTAACACTTCCCGAACCTTCAGCTGAACGAACTTTGTACATACATTCTAGGAATCTGGAATCAATCCAACAGGTTCAAGCCGTCCATGCAATCCTGTCAACGTTTATGATGTGTTTCAGGAAGTCTTTCGTCCCATTCAAAGCCTTGTGGATATGTTTCTCTCCATAACATTCTATCATATACAGTAATGGGTGCCCAAAATCCTATTGGATCGAAAATGCTGCTAACTGCTGAAAGCAATCCTCTCTCTGTGAATGAACTATTCAGTGTCGGAGCAGTCACTTTTATGCATTTCAATCTCACTAACAACCGTTAGGGTTAATGTACGAGTAGCCCTTCATTACAGTAGTAAACACAAAAGTTTACAATACTTAAAAATGTGCACCACATATGATAGCATATTCTTAGAAAAAGTCTACAAGTGTACAGTCAAATAATAATCATGCCAAAAAGGGACCAAAATGGTTGCGTCAACATCAATACAAAAAAGGAAGTATTCCTCACAACAAAGGCAAGAAGAATATAGGGACTACCAGCCCAGTCCAATTTCTGGTTCCCATAAGAAGACTAAGTAAAGAAGAGTTTAGTGACATTGTACGGCCACAGAAAAATGGAATGTTTGCAGTTACAGATGCCAAGAGCCGGAATAGTGAGATGACGATTTTGCGACCCGAGCCAAGTGAAGTCCAGTCTGTAGACTCCTACATGGAAGCTGTGTCAGATGACCCAAATTCAAAATTATGCAAAGTACTTCACCAAAAAAAAAAAGACTACTAAATTGTGGAGTCATGCATTTAAAGAACACTCGCATACGTTTCCAGACTGTGACGGTTCACTGGACTAGAATCAGCATGGGGAGGAAAAACGAGGCCTGGCATGGATCTTTTCCATCCGAAGTAAGATGTGCCACTATACCAGTCACCAAGAAAAGCTTTACGAAGAGGTGAGGGGATCTGGAAAGGGACGAAAAGCTGCACATGACTGTCGGTCACTTGGGTACCAGTCTTACAACAGAGGGTATGCGTGGTATGCTTCTTGGTGCAAATATTGAAGTAGCTTCAGCCGCAAAAATGCAACAGACCTGCAACAAAGTGGGAAAAATTATCACAGAAGTGAATAAAAACAGCATGAAGAAAATAAGGCAGAATATTCAAGAACTTAATGAAAAATGTGGACTTCCTGATACTGCTATCAGAGCGGAAAGAGATGCTCGGTATAATAATGCCACCTTCAGTGCCATTGGAAAAACCCAATTCCAAGCTGTCACCCAGGTGATTTATACCGTAAGTGAAAATGTAACTCAGAGAAAAAATGTTGTGGCAGTGTTCTGTGGGAAGAAACTCTGCAAGAAAGGCACACGCCTACGAAGCAAAGGAAAGGAAATACCTGCCCAGGACACGAAGACTGCACTGCAACCATTCCTCCGTAGACCACCAATGGAGATGAGAAGAGAAGGGCTGCAAACTGTATCGGGGAGTTAAAAAGTGATGACCGTCCACTCGTCATTTCCCCTCTAACCAGTGATGGAGATAAAGCCGCTGCGTCTGGCGCATCTGAAAATCAAGGACATGTGATGGAAAACCTTAAAGACTTGCGTCACTTCTTTGACTCTCAAAGAAAACAGACTGCTAAGGTTCCATTCAGCAGTGACATGTTTCTGGGGAGAACCAAAGCTATAAGAGAATCCATGCAGAGAAGATTTCCCTTGGACCTGAAGCTTCGATGCAGGACATAGTACGAGAATCGCTACAAACACTACTCCGGAGACTTACCTTTGATGAGTCGGGCTATGTCCACTGCTGTGGGTTCCATCATAAGCTGCTACCAAGGACTGTGCGGGAAGTGCTGTCAACTTTATTCCTTTTCCTGTCGTGGACTGAAAAGCAGTGAGTTGAAATCTTCAGTGTTGTCTAGTGACTTTGTATTAAACATGACAGAAAAAGACAAATGTTTGTTAAAAGACTGTATATATTTGACTTTAGGACCAAGTAATCTTGATAGAATTAAATATCATACTTGTACACAAAGATCTGAATCGCTGAATAGGGCATATTTAAAATCAAATTCAAAATGTATTACAAGTAGTAGAAATTTTGAAAGTAGAATACATAAAGTTGTGCACTCACTGAATAGGGGTCATGGATTGATTGATTGATTGATTGTATTTTGTTTAACGTCCCTCTCGAGAATTTTTTTTTTATTAACTTGTTTTTCTTACCTGTCTGATGAACACAACAAAGGTTACAGAGGTGATTTGTAGAAATACGGGTGTCGAAACTCTCCGTTGATGACCAGACTGCATGCCGCATTGTAAACCCGCCATTATTGATTTTTAAAATTAAAACTGTAGATCTAAAAAATTGCCGAAAAGAAAAAGAAATTATCTCTTTATATATAGAACTACAATTGAGTATTATTAAATTAAGTTCATTTTGATTGGCTATTTCCTTGCGTAAGACCTTTAAATCAGATATGTTGAACTAAGTAAGTGAACTACATAAAAATAATCCAAAAGCCTATTGGGATATGCTATCAAAATTAAGAAACGATAGAGACACTAAAGTTCCTGCTGACTTAATAGCCCCAGATACATGGCTAGATCACTTTATAACACAATTACTCAATGTGTTCGGATTACTTAGACTTTTGTAAGTTTATAGTTTTATTATAAAATCACAGCAAAGGCAAAACAATGGTACAGAAGAAAAGTTCAATGGCTGCCGGTATCGGAGCTAAGGTGGTGAAAGCTGTTGATACTCAGTGTACACATCTTTTTGTAAGAGGGGAATCACATATTTGTTTATAGCAATTACTTAGTATCACTTCATTAACACACTGATATAGTCCGCCCCTCACGAAAGTAATGTCTCCCATCTCCTTATAGGATACGACAATGTCCTTTGTTTATGTGAACATCGGAGAACTTGTACATTCTTTGGTTAATTAGATCGGTGCATCTTTATCCAAAGTCTGATTGGAAAGTGTCAATGTTTGTGAACAACACATCGTAAAAACAAACTGTCCGTTAAATAAAGACGTTCTCCTTATTATAACCAATCTCCCAGAGTTTGTAAACAAGTTCATAATTAAAGGTAAATGTCCGTTGCTTTACACACTGATAGTATCAATTATAATTCATAACACAATAATAGAATACACTGTATAAATAAGTACACTATACAAAATTAATATATCAATTAAAATTTATAATTTACTCGCTCATTGTGTTACACAATGTCAAAACCGTTTACATTACCAAAATCCACATTGCGAAGAAAAGTTTACAGTAACTTCATTCAAATTCAAAACATAAATAGTAGCGCTCCATATATGTACAACTTTAAGAGAGTGTTTATAATTTATAAATTAAACGAGACTTACCTGGACGTTGAAGTTTGATTGGGATTCTACTCGAATTCATCACTTAAAAAAAGGAGGAATCACATGATAGTGCTAGCTTATCAGATCTCAGTGCAAGTCCAATTTCACAGCCGAAGAAAGTCTATAAGAAAAAATTCTAGGGAGGGCAAATTACAATTTAAAAAAGGGGAAGGGCATGTGATTCCTCCATTTTTTCCAATGATGAAGTAGATACGGTTTTAAGACAAGGAGCAATAGTATTGGTTGTGACTGCACTGTATGGTTTTTGTTAGCTGATATCAGATCTTTAGTTACACTGATGTGCTTATACAAATGATACACTACAACTAACGATCATGGTACATGTAGTTGATGAGGTCATTTACTGATAAATGTATACCTACAATATTTATACCCCACACAAGTTGCTGGGGGGGGGGTATAATATTTTTGACCCGTCCGTCAGCCAGTCAGTCCGTTAGTCATTTTTTTTTGTCAGCGCAACTCCTCATAAACCGATGCACAGAATTTCGTCAAACTTTCCAGATATTTAGGACACAATATTTAGATGTGCATATTACCAGGAAATTCCGATTCCTTTATTTTTCTTGGAATTTCGGCACTTTTCAACTTAGATTTTTGGCCATAACTTGAATATAGAGATGAACAGTTTGTCAGCGCATTTCCTCATAAACCGTAGCACAGAATTTCGTCAAACTTTCCAGATATTTAGGACACAATGTGTAGATGTGCATATTACAAGTAAATTCCGATTCCATTATATTCCTGGGAATTACGGCACTTTTCAACTTTGATTTTTGGCCATATCTTGAATATATAGATGAAAAGTTTGTCAGCGCAACTCCTCTTAAACTGCTGCACAGAATTTGGTCAAACTTTGCAGATATTTAGTACACAGTGTGTAGATCTGCATATTACCAGGAAATTCCGATTCCATTATTTTTGCCCTAAGAGTTTTGCCTATTATTGAGGAAACTTTCGAGCTAAGATATAAGGAAATCCACTGGAATCAGCTTTTGTAATGAAATTTTATGTGAAATATTTTATGACCTTAAAAGACCCCTAATGATTTTGAGATCATAATATGAATGATTTACACACACACAATCTTGGATAGATCCTCCCCCCCCCCCCCCTCAAATTGGTGCTTTGCCTTAAATAATTTCATAAGTACAGATTGATTAATGTTTTACGCCGAATCGGCACTA